GTAATGAGTTGGGGAGCGTTTTGATTGGATAATGCCCATTTTGAAAAGTACTTGGAACAGGCTCTAACACCGCCTGTGCAGGCTGTGCGGAGTTAAGCGAGAACTTACTGTATATTAGTGTGATCTGCAAAATTATCATTTTAGATTAGTGTGGAATATCCTCCCTCCAAATACTGTTTGAACAGAATCGGTTCAAACTTGTTCGACCACACTGCACGGCTTCAGAAGGACTTACTAGTAGTTCCAGTCGTATAGTCGTATGATGCCCTCCATGGATAACCTGACTGATCGATGGAGGGCACCATACGACTGGAACTAAGTCCTGAGGAAGGCCAATGCCAATCACAACCAGTACATGGGTGTACGAGTACTCTATTCCACATGCTCGACTTCAATTTCTCATCGAGGTGGCTTGACGTTATCCGTTACTAGTAGTGGATACACCTTGGTCAAGGATATTCCATATGGGAATACGGTTGGTTGCGTTGAAAGACCTGTACGCCTGGTCTTCACTTCACTGTCAATGGTTGACACTTTTGGCCAACTTCATTTTGTTTTTCGCTGTACGATGGTCAAAGTCCTTATCTTCCTGAGCGCGTTGGCCACTGCCGCTACGTCTGACTCCGTCACGGAACTCTCCGAGTCTGTGGCCAAGCTCGTCTACTACGTACTCCGGAAACCCCTGCGACGGCTTTTACCAATATGCGTGTGACACGCGAGTTAAGGGTTCTCCAAGATCTCCATCCAAAACCAAGCCGTGTTGACGAAGATTTTGTCTTGCAACAAGCTCAAGCTTGGCGAGTTTTACAACTCATGTTTGACTGGGGTTGGACCTCCTCGTCGTGGCTGGTGAATTGGTCAAGAACGGCATCCCTGCCTTTGTCGACATCAAGACCAGAGTCGACGACAATGATCCGACTAAGAACGCCCTCTTCGGCTTGCGACGCCCCCTGTCGGTGTTTCGTACATACTACACCACCCAAATCTGTTACAGCTCGCAGCGTAGCTCTACAGTGTCTGCTCATCTAGTTATTGGCTGACAAAGGCAGCAATCAACGAAATCAGTTTTTTGAGGGTACAAAATTCATACACCTCATTTGCACTCTAACATGCATTGAATCGAATAGAAACCGTTTGGAACTACAGTACTTAGTGGGATGGGTAAATCTAAACATGGACACTTTTCGACAAATTAAGCGATTGAAAGTGATTTATTCGTCGAACGGTGGCCACGGGTTTCGGAGTCCTTTATAGGGTCGGTATTGTCCTTGAAACCTCGTTGAATGTGTCCTGCATGACGGAGGGGCTTCAACGAAGCCATAGAATGTAACATGACATCTCAAACTGCATTCTTAGGTGTTTTATATCAAAAAGAAAACTGTACCTTTCTCATAAGGCCAGGCCCAGAAACCAGTCGACCCAGTTTTTTCCAGATTTCACTTACTGCATTCATCATGGTGCAAATTGGAAGGTACCCAATCGTTCGTCCTTTCAATTGGCTAAATATGTCTCAAATAGTCGAATGATTTGAAAAAATTACGAAATTCCTTTCCAGAAAAACTGCTGTACCTTTCTCCTGTGGCCAGCACTACTGTGTAGCAAGTAGCATGCGATTCTAACCTGGTGCTACATGTACTACGTAGTTGTAGAGACCGATAAGACAGAGTTAGCGCTGCTTCTCCGCATAAATCTCTCTCTATTGGTACCCCGACTACGTTGTAATGCACCACATAGCAACAAGCAAGCAAGTGATCTACAGCATTATGCACGACACCCCCACATAGCCGAATCTGAATCAGCAAGCCACAGCAAGCCGACATATACAGGTTAGTTGTAGGCCACTTGCATTGCCAGCAACTCCTCGCGGAGGAATATCATAAACAAATGATAATCCAAACTCAATTAACAACGTGCAAAAGTACTGATTGCAACACGTTACCTACACTCTCCTGTCGGAATTTCGGTGAATAAATCACAAAATATGGTCTGACTTGCTTTCAGCATCGAGATATTCATATTTTCAAAACAGTTCCGACAGATTATGTCGGAACTGGTCGGAATCGAAGGAGCCCTAGTCGGGTACAATATGATTGGCCAAAACGGCTGACAAGTAATCTGTGATAGGGTAATATTTGGTAGAATTCTGAACCATATCATTTGATTGGATAAATATGCTCATACTAGGATCAAGTAGTGTCGGAAGATAGATTGACTATTAGTACCATAGTGACCAGGATACTGTACAGTATGAGACCATACACATTATCAGAAGCCCCTTACTGCAAGTGTTAACGTTAAACGTTAACTATAAAACGTGACAGTTGGAATTGACCATTGGGTAGTATAGATGGAGAGCAACATACGAGTCTTGACGAAGGCCAATCACAACTAGTACATGGGTCTACGAGTACTCTACTCCGCATACTCGACTTCAATATCTCATCGAGATGGATTGGTGGATGCACCTTGGTCAATAATCTCCCTTAACGTTATGGGAATCCGGTGGGTTGGGTTCAACGACTTGCCCGCCTGCTCTTCACTTAAATGGTTGACATTTTTGGTCGACATCATTTTCCTTTTCGCTCTACGATGGTCAAAGTTCTCGTCTCCTTCAGCGCGTTGGCCGCTTCCGCTACGGCTGGCTCCGTCACGCAGATCCCCGAGTCTGTGACCAAGCACATCGACTACTCCGCAAACCCTTGCGATGACTTTTACCAATATGCGTGTGGCGCGTGGTACAAGGATGCTGTGATCCCCCCGGGCAGACCCTTCACCGATTTGGCGTTCTCGAAGATCGGCATCGAAAACGAAGCCGTGTTGGAGAATATATTGTCTGACAGCAAGACCAAGCTTGGAGAGTTTTACAATTCATGTTTGGACACAGCTACGCTGTCGTCTCTCGGCGTGACTCCGCTGCTGGGCTCGATCAAAGCCATTTGGTCGGCCAACACCACGTTGGACCTCCTCGTCGTTGCTGGTGAATTGGCCAAGAACGGCATCCCTGCCTTTGTCGACATCAAGGCCAGTGCCGATAAAAAAGACTCGACCAAGAACGCCCTCTTCGGTGACCAACCCCCCCTGTCGCTACCTCGCTCGTACTACACCACCCCTTCCAAGTGGGAGACAATCGAAGCCGAATACAAGGTGTACATTGCGTCGGTGTTACAGTTCGCTGGTTACACTGCCAAAGAAGCGGCGGCTGCCGTGCCGGTGATCATTCGTTTCGAAAAAACCCAGGCGGGTGTCGCCCTCAGAAAGCTCGAAGAGATGGAGGCCGCCGTGTCTCCGTACACTGCGTTTACGTTTTACCAACTGGACCAGAAGTATCCGCTGCTCATCGGCTCGTGGCTCAAGGCCAACGGCTTCAACGTCCACGACCAGTCAGGTGGATCTAACGACTGGGTGGGGTTTACCGACTTAACCTACTTTGACAAGACGGAAGTGTTGTTAAAGAGCACGACGTTGAAAAACCTCCGCACCATCGTGGAGTACAAGCTCATCCACGCCTCGTCCACCCACCTGAACCCTGAGTTACGCACGGCCAACTGGAACTTGTTCGGCAAGAAGATAGATGGCGAAGAGGTGGAACCTACTCGTGAAAAGTTCTGCGTCGCAGAAGTGGATACAACAGTTGGGGAGCTCTTGGGCCAGTACTTCTTAGACGCGGTGTGGTCGGCTGACACGGCCAAGACGGCCGACGAACTGGTCAAGGCTTTGAAGTCGTCCTTCTCCACTAGCATTGCCACCGCCGACTGGTTGGACAACTCGACCCGCGCCAACGCACAAAAGAAGCTGTCCAAGTTAGTGCACTTGTTGGGTGGAGATAAGAATCCCCAGCTATACCCCACGCTGACGTTGGACTCGAAGACGTATTTGAACAATCGCTGGAAGATATCTCAAGTGAACATCGACACCAACTTGAAGCTGAATGGCCAACCCGTGGACAAGCGCAAGTTTGGCATGCCTCCCGACAAGGTGAACGCGCAGTACGATTTCACCGTGAACCAAATTGAGTTCCCGGCCGCCATTTTGCAAAATCCGCTCTTTGATGGCCGGTTTGACGCCGCCCAGAACTTTGGTGCCATCGGGATGGTCATCGGACACGAAATCACCCATGGGTTCGACAACTACGGCCGCAAGTTCGATGGCAACGGAAACTTGCACCTGTGGTGGTCGATCGACACCGCCACTGCGTTCAAGGAGAGGGCCCAGTGCTTCATCGACCAGTTCGACAAGTTTATCGTCACGAGCGATGTGACTGGCGCTGTGTTGGGCAAGATCAGTGGCAAGCGCTCTTTGGGTGAGAGCATTGCGGACTCTGGGGGGCTCAAGACCAGTTTCCGCGCGTACCATGAGTACTTGAAGAAGCTCCCGTCCCAGTACACGGACGACGCTGGCGACAAGTTGTTCTACTTGTCGTATGCCCAAGCTTCATGCTCCAAGAGCACTGATGCATACCTCAAATTTCTATTGGCGAGCGAGCACCCACCCAATCGATTCCGCATCAAAGGGGCGTTGCAAAACAACGCTGAGTTTGCCCGTGTGTTCCAGTGCCCCACCAACTCGTCCTTCAACCCGTCCGAAAAGTGCTTGTTGTGGGAATAGGTTTGATCGATACGAAGATACGTATGTAGCGTTGTGCATAAGGAAAAACTAAGAAACGATGTCTTGGTTGAAGTGCGTTGCTTTCCGTGTGCGGCGCACACAATAATCACATACACAGTTACAATGTAATTAAGTTTATGTGAGATCACCTTTGTAATCGCCTATGGCAGTTGGTTGTTGGGTGATGAGCTTTATATAAATCCAACACGGTCGAAATCGGTGATTTGCGCCTCCTGGAGGATCTGATGCACCGAAAAAGTGCTGATATAACTACTCGTTTGCTCATTCGTACTACCACCAATGACTACTGTAGTGTAGGCTGGATCCAACCGACTGGCCGAGCAAATGTGTGTGGTGCCAGGAAGGGTTAGGGCCAGGAAAGTCCACGTTGGGCGAAGTAAAAACCGAAGATTACACACCGCCCCTGGTCGAGCAGGCGCGTTACAATTGGCGAAGCGGTTCCACAACATGTGGTTCTAGTATCGGCCCTCGCGGAGGAATGTCTTCAACAAATGATAACCCAAACTCAATTAATCGTTATACCACTTCTAGTCTGTTTTTCATGTCGTCTACCTCCTGTTTTTCTACATCGAGAATCCACATATCGTTATGGGTGAATACAGACATATGATGCTGGTTTAATTAGTTTTGGATTATCATATGTTCTGAGCTCGAGCTAAATATGTCACCAAGACCTGGCTTACTGACCCGAATAAGTCACCAGATCTCATATCACACCAACTATTTACCAAAAACCCCGCTCATAAAAACCACCCCATGCCAATTCCTTCAACTGTGAGTACGGTACTGTACCATAAGATAATTAAGGTATTACATTACGTAGAACTTAACATGACCTCTCGTTGATCCCGAGCAGGATTACCCAATAGAAATACTGATTTGATTGGATAAGATAGATCACCCCAAGAAGGACTACGTAATGTAATACCTTAATGGCGTGTTCGGAGCGACTTTTACTTCAGCGGCTTTATGTTCTTCAGCCAATCAAATCCAATTCCATCGGCTTTTGTGATTTACGCAACTGATTGGGTAATAATATTGCAATTAAACTTGATGGACTCACACACTTCCGATGAACTTCGTTCCGTTGATTTGCACGGTGGCTACCATCGCTGTGACGATTGCGTTGCTAGATGGTCGTACCTTACCGGCTGCACCTGTGATTGACTACGTCGCTGGGGGTGAATCTGTCTGGCCCGCCGTAAAGTCCAGTAGTGGCAGGGAACGGTTGGTTTGTTCGGTACCTGCGTTGCTCGCGCGCGACCTTTGAAACTATCGCTCAGCGTCTGGCGCACTCGTGGACATCATTGCACAGTCCACCGCACCGATCGTCCCACTTTGACATCACATACGCTGCTCACTAGGTCCACATCTACTATACGGTACTGTACGTATAGTACAGTAGGGCAAGGCAAGCGTTCTACTGTATCTGTAGAGTCCTAAACCATGCCAGCAGTTGAGCTGGCAATTTGACGTTTGAGAGATATTCCATTGTAACGTTATGTGTTATGTACTGTACTAGTATGTGTGTTCACTACAGTGCAGTATGTGTGTTCAATGTGACTTTGTGCGAAAATTACAAGTGGAGCTCAACGACAAGTTATGCGTGTAAACTCTAGAAATTTGGGTTAGAGTGGTGGGAAATCCACATGTGAACATAGAGGTTTCAGTCACTATGCGCGACTAGCTGCATGTAAATCGCTACAGCTGTATCGATTACAACCCCTACATCGTTTACGACCCCCCACAGCCTTCTGTCCCTCCACAACGATTCTGCTTGTGGCTTATCTACATGTAAAAGCACACAACTACCATTTACGAGGTTATAATCACCATTCACGACATCAAGACTAGCTGATTGCGTATGTAGATCGCTAGAATAGCAACGATTGCAACCCCTGCACCTCTATACTAATAGCCATTACGTACTGTATAACCCCCCTCGCAATATTGGATTTGAAGCAACCCCCCAGGCCCCTACGGGAAATTTTGGAAAACCCATTTGCCTGGGCAAAGCCCCAAAACATAATACTAACTGTAAGGTAATGCATCAATCAATGACACGGTTTTTGGTCAAGTTTTGGCCATGACTTCAAATCCCAGTAGCTCGAGAACGAAAACGATTATTTTAATGCTGATAGCACCACAAGGGAATTTAAAACGCCACCATTTTTTTGACGTATCATCGAGCATGATTGGACTAAATTTCAGATTTGTATCGAAATTAAATGTTTTGAGCACGACTTTTGAGGTGAACCAATTCATGTCACTCCTTAAAAACATTGATGTTTGTATAACATTAAATTAATATGCAAAATAATTTGATCAAAAATATAATTGCATGCATTTCGCAATATTTATGAAATAATTTTTTACATGAATTTAATTAGTCAGCGTAAAAAAATGCAGCCACATTTTAATTCACTGCTGTGGATCACAACAGTAGCGCCATAGTGGAGGCCATCCACTCGTTGCGAGGATTAATACGCTGCTGCTTCTTCGGCAATGGTAGCGATGGCTCTAAACTGGGTACTTCCATGTATCACGTATCTATGCACAACTGCCGCGACGCTCTCGTAGGCATGTATGGCCGGACAGCGTCAAGGCTTTCTAGTTGACATTCTATTTAAATACTTGTAGTTTTTTCTTTGAGATTGAAAAAAAACTGACCAGACTTCAATATTGAGACGTGTAATAAAATACACTAGTAGAGACGAATATTATTATACCCAATCATACAAGGCCAACACAAAATATCGAGATGCTATTGGCTAAAAGTTACTCAGTCCCACAATTGTTGGTGCCGTGTCAACAATTGATGAATTACCTTACTTAGTATACTATTGTATGCATTATGCCACCTGGATACACTTTATCGCGGGTAGCCCTGTATCCGAGGTTTCCCACTCGACTTAAACTTCGACTTTACTGTTATTAGGGCCCGTCTGGATGCCACCCACCAATATTATGGGATATTGGAATATTGAATAAAAAACATTTTTCGACATTGCAGGAAATTCTTGGGTTTCAAGATCCAAGAATGATTTTGGGCGGTGTGTCTGGATGCATAGAGTAAAAGAAAGGGCGGAAATGAACAGCCAATCAGAGGATAGCGCAGAGCCGCAGAGGACTTCGTCCACCGAGAGAGGACCACTGAGGATGGACGTCCTCTTTGGTGTCTTGTGGACGAAGGCGAGGTAGTGGTACACCATCTGTCTGGCGAAGAGTTCCTTGGCCAGGCGGCGGCGGATGAGCCATCGACGTAGGAAGGCAATCACGATGGCCTTTGTCATTCCGAAATGCCCTGTCAATTCAACGCGCACTGTTAATATCGTCAAAATATTCTACTCATGAGTAGAATATTATTTCTTGTGGTTTTTACGATATTTCTGATAAAATTATGGAATATAACTTGGCTAAGAAATGGCATCCAGACACGCCAAATTGAAGTCGCTGAGATTCTTGAATATTTGCAAAATTATCGCGATATTTCTCAATAAAAGTGCTATCCAGACGGGCCCTTAACAGCAAAATCATGTGGGTGTTTACAGTTAACTGTAAGGCGACCTTCAATTTCTCGAACTTACTGTTTACTGCATAAGTGGGACACTTCAGCATACATTTGCGCATACGGTATGGTAGTAAAACAACTGGTGCACTCGCCATACTTGGAGCCATATCGGCATACTATGTACAAGTAATATCAACATTGCATCCTTTGTGAACTCAACAGTGTATCCATTGTAAACTCAAGTGTATCCGTTGTGAACTTAACAGTGCCATTGCTTTGCGCGGCGGCTTCAAATTAGGCCCCTGGCTTCTATTTGGCATCGAACGCCAACTTTTCGTTCACGCGTACCCATCCAACAACACCCTGCAAAACACGCATGGGAGGAGCTGTGTCTGTTGAAAACGCTGAGATCATTTACGTTGCCGAAGATGGCGCCATTGGGCTCACGGAGCCTTTCGCTTCCCGCTTTGAGAACGACATGCCATTTGACATCAAACGCCCCGTGGTCACCCACCAGCACGAAGCTCTGATCAAGGAGAATTGGTCTGCCATCTGCCAGGGCACTTCGGCGTTTGACGCGGTCAAGCACCTAACGCCGACAAAGTTCTTCTATCGGACGTTCTACAACGTCTTGTTCGAGACGGCGCCGTCGCTGCGTCCGATCTTTCGATCCAGCATGACCGTGCAAGGCAAGTCGTTGGCGGGGATTATCAAGACCCTAGCCACAGTCATCAACGGCGCCAACATCGTGAGTGCGGCCCAAGGACTGGCCAAAGGGCATCTCAAGTACGGGACCAAGAAGGACCATTACACGGTGGTGGGCCAGAATTTGCTGCAAACGCTGGAAATCGTGAGCGGAGACAAGTGGACTCCAGATATTTCTACGGCGTACCTGACTGCGTACAGCTTGATCTACTTTGTGATGCTCCCCGTGATCCTAAACAACGAGCCGGTCGAGATCACAGAAAGCCTGCCCGCGACGATCTCCAAGTCGGAGCCAATTTCAGCGACGGCCAAGCGACTCACGTTGACCTTTGACTTTAACTTGCGGTTCCATCCGGGCGATGCGATTCTTCTGGGGCTGCCTGTCGCCGAAGGGGGAGAAGTGAAGCGGCACTATACGATTGCCTCACTCAGTGTCGAAGGGACCAACACCATCGACATTGTCGTGGACGACGTGAGCGCGTCGTCGCACTGGCTCGTCACCCATGCGACTGGAGCAACCGTCAAGTTGTAATGGATTGAGTCAAACGTCCGGTTTGAGATCGACTCGCCCGAATCCATTCCCTCAAATGTCGTGTTTGTGAGTCATGTAGTGGGGTGCGTGCCATTCCTGGTCATGCTGGAGGGACTATATCGCGTTCGAGAAACGTTCTACGGCAGCGCCGTGACGTTGCAGGTGGCCCCCAACCAAGCCGACGTGGACGCGTACACGTCTGCGGTGACCTCAACAGGAAAGCCCATCGAATGGGAATCCAGTTCTATCCACTATGCGCCAACTGTCTCGGCCGACAAGCTCAAAGACATTACGCCAAATCTTGCGCATAGCGACTTGTACGTGTGCGGCCCTGCTGACTTCATCGCAACCACAGAAGAAGCGCTCGTGGCCGCAGGGGGATCCAAGGATCAGATTCATGTGTATTCGTTCGACAATGCGCAGCTGGGGGCGCGGAAAATAGAATGAACGAGACATACAGTAGTAGGGGCTAACGTAGATGGTAGATAATCTGATGTGTTTTGGTCGAGTCCTCGTAGTCACAATTCTGCAAATCAGTTTCGTTTCCACCACGCTCGTGTTTAGTTTTGCCCCAAAATTCAATCAAGATGGTTGCGCTCGTACTCGGTTTTATCATCATATAATTGTGGTGGTAACGTTAGGTGAAACAGTTGGACTTTTAGCAGAAGCGACCATATAGCGGTAAGGTCGCTTCTGCAGTACGTCAATTACTAGTAGTCATTTCGATTCGGGTCGGGTTTCGGCTTAACCCCGTCAATTAGTCATTGCGAATTAGTCAGTGCGATTTGGGCCGGGTTAAGCCTTAACCCGACCCAAATCGCACTGACTAATTGACGTACTGCGCATAAAAACTCTTGGTAAAAGTACTTCGTCGTTGTACAGGCCTTGTCCGGGTAGCCGCACAACCTAGGGCCTACCTGCCGCTTTTCCCGACGAGAAGTATCGATTGGACATTCGGTGACGTGCACGCTTGGATCTTACTCCTTGCCAAGGCATCGCCTGCAACAAATTATGCACACGACCTCCGCTGCGCGCAATTTTGTGCTCCGTATTTGCCCTCTTCGAAGTAACTATTCAAAACAAACGGAGCCAATCAGAATCGTTTCCATCGTACTTCGAAATTCATTTTTTCAAGCACACCATTGGTGATTTTGGTGAAACCGAAGCCTGTTTTTCGGCCGTGATTGGCGGAGAAATTAGACACCCTAACAGTCGCCGGGGCCAACCGACGTAGCTCCCAGTAGTCTCAGTGTTTAATTTTCGCCGACCAACCTCGTTTAAACTCTACCACAGCTATGTACCGCGTACACCAACTCGTTCGTGTGCAACCAGAGCACTTTCCGTGCCGCAACCTCGAATCGTATACCTACGGGCAAACAGTCGTGTCACCGTCACTTACGTGCATGGGCAAGTCCGCGTAAACAACGGGATCGCCGAATTTCGCGATTCCATCGCACTTGCAAGATGAACTCTCCCCATCGTAGACGTTGTTGAGGTACAGGCGGGCACTGGCCTTTGGATATGCCGTCGTGCTTTCTGCACCAGTAATGAGGAGTGGCTGCATTGTCAGGTCACCGCTTACGACCCTGTCTCTTGCACAGTCACACAAACTACGCAATCCTCCGATTACTCAATTCCGGTGGCTCAACTTGAGCCTATATTACCTATCTTTGAGTCCATGTTGGCTAAACAATGTCTTCAGGCAGGCCCACATAATGCTGATGTTTCTTTCACTACAGCTCAAATTCGGGTCTTTAATGACACTATTTTTACATGTTGTATTGCGGGTGATGGCGATTTGCCTGCTACTCAGACATACCTGCGATCATGTCCGGCCTCGTTGCCCCGGAGACCCTGCCCCTGACCGACGACATTCTCAAGTTTACCGATCACGCCACTGGTGAAACTCGGCAGACAACTCTTTAGCATACCATCGATTTTGTTTTTGTGATCGATGGCGAAAACACTACCGAATCACATCGTCGGCTGAGTTCATCTCACTGTGATGACCCATTGCTTATTCGTGCTCTCCGCCCAAACCCGGTGCTGCAACCTTCAGCATCCGCAACTGTTGTAAGCTTCCCCATTGCGTCCACCAGCACTACCCCCGTATCGGCACCAACTCCTGCAGCCGTAACTGCACATCGATGCAATTCTGCAACAGGTGCTACCTTCTCCCATGCCGTCTCCATTAGTAGCTCCATACATTCCATTGACTGATGGCCAAGCACCTTCCCAAGCACAACGGGCCTCGCGAGACGCTGCACGATCACACGTACCCTCGCAGACATTTGCCGAGGCTGTGTTGACTGATTGCTCTCGACAAAACCAACCCAATTCACCTTTAATCCCACTGTCACATAGCGGGCAGTTCATAGTAGCTTAACCTCGCCATCTTTGGCGCACCTCCTTCCAAAGGAACTCATGAGGAGCCTCTCATGCGACGCATAGATCGGATTCACCCGGCATATTCACCTACCTGTATGACCTTTTCTGTGGGTCTGGCAGTCTGTCGGTAGCCCATTTTTTGCCGCTCGCCGACCATGAGCGACGAACGTGGAACGATGATACCGCTATCAACCCGCGGATTTGTTTGGCCTCAGTGTCACCACCCCGTCCGCTCCGCCACCAGAGCGCTCAAGCCATCCTGGATGCGCTTGACAGCCTCGACGCTTTCTTCCTCCCAGCTGCCTACGGCTCTCCTACAGCATCCCAATACTTTAGTTGCGCCAAACGATTTTGCACCGCTCTCAATCGACGTTCCTAATCGCCCCCCTCAGTGTCCCCGTAGTTGTGGCATGTTTGGACGATCAATTTCACTCGTTTGGCATCGCAATCGCGCGTCGCCCTGCCGTTCACACACAGTCCTTCACTACGTTCGACATCGACGGGCCAGCCTCATACCAGCTACAAATGTGAATAACGCAGGCGTACCTCGTATCTTAGCCCATCCGCACCGTCCATCACACAACCCTACACGACACTCGACTACTAGTACGGTGCAATCCGACAGCATCGGCCAGCATTCCACTGCACAGCACTCTAGGGTAGGGTGGGCATTCCACCAGCCGTCCGAGACAATATTCCCACCTCAGACGGCAAGTCGATTTGGCTGTTTCTTGCCCAACAAAGGATGCAACGCCGGTCCGATGAGTGCATCGTGCGGAAGAGGTCCACGGGCCCGTATTCACGCAATTCCTACTCGCCTACTATCAACTGTGTCATCCCACATAGTTGCAGACCTCAACGGCGTGAAACAGGAATATTTGCGCCATGTTTGACTTCGCTATGGGCGGGACTGGCTCTTTCCGCCATGGCAATTCATTTCCACGTGCTCGCAACCGTTGTTCTCGGCCGTGCCTCGGATCAACTACCCGTGCAAATGTGTGTGCAGTTGACAGTGAGTTCAGTCGGGTTCTAGTTTAAGTCTCGCCGAGGGAGCAAATAACTAGTCCCAAAGTGGATCCTATTTACTGTTAGGCCCAGGCTAGGACTTACCGAAGCTCCCTCGGTACACTGTGAGTGTATTGACTGTGATGCCTGGATTAGAGCGAAGTGATTCGCTGGTTGATGGGCGCATAACCTGAACGATAATGAAGACACTTTTGGATTTGTCATCGAAGGCTACCGTCGTGAGCACGGTAGCTGATTGTGCAAGCCGGCGCAGACAACCAAGAATTATTTAGCTGTCTTTGACAAGCTAGCGATTTAGAGCATGGAACGAGGCACGAGCGAAGCGTACATGCAGAGGACGCGGAGCTCCCTGGATGGCGATCGATCAAGGTCAGGCCGCTCAGACAGTCCGGTAGCCGGCAAGAATTTTCCTGGCCGACCGGGTGATTGTAAACGACAGCGGAGCAAGATGGCCGTATATCGGCTGTTCCGGGCACCACAGGGCCGACGCCAACCGGTGGCGGTCGACGAGGCGTGGCCGTTTGGTGGATTATCAAGTTTTAAGCCTCCTGTGTTTGGGCCATCTGGGGCGGTTCCCGGTGTGACTGCCCCTGATACCGAAGACTGGGACATGGGTCAAGGCGATGTATACATTCACAACGCACCAGTCCTCCCAAATAACCCGATCTTCAAGGGTTCTACGAAGGAAGAACAACGAGCGTTCATGGTGTCGTACAACCAGTACATCAGCCAGACGAATGCCCTTACCGCGAACGGCGTCGACCATTTCTGATACCGTTGAGTGCGTGCATTGAGCCGGCGACTAAACAATGCGTGGCTGAGTGGGACATGGGGAAGGTTCCGGAAGAGGTAACTGATGCCGAATGGGCGGCATGGTTTATGCTGGGATTTCAAGTTTACCCTCGGACACTGGATTCCCTCAAGAAGCGAGTGAGGATAAAATATTGCCACATAAGAATAGCTGAGGACCACATAGGAATTGCTGAGAGTCACATAAGAATTGCTGAATCGCACATAGTTCTCGCTGAAGGACACATGAAATTTGCTGAATTGAATATAGAGTATGTTACACAACGAGATCCACTTCGGCAGGCAGTGCGTTATGAGAATTTCTGGACACATGTGACTATGAGCAATGTGATTGGTTATTAAACTCACATTTCAATGTGATTGGCTATTGTAAAGAATTCAGAGCATGTGATTGGCTATTTCTACCTAAGTTTCGTGATTTCATGAGTGGGAGTACGTAACTGTAGCTACTAAATTCGATCTGTCCAGTATTGAGTACGCATTGAGCTGTTTGTTCGCTGTTACTCCTTCGGGGGGGGGGTGGTCAAATAGTCAAGAATTTACTAACTTCGTTTATACTTGGTGCGCGTGGAACATCATTATGGGCTACTGCCCTCTATGTATGGACAAGTTCAAAAGCATCTAATCTTGACTAAGGTGGGAATAACCCGACTACTCCAGGCATTAACATGGTGGCTCTGGTACAGTATTTTATTAGCATTCTATACTCTAATTCAGCTTGTCTAATATAATATCACACCAATGTTCTGTACAAAATAGAGTCCCAAACTATCGTACTTGCAAATAGTATGCTACACAAATACGAAATATAAAAAATGTATTATCTAACCGGAAAACATGATATATCAGGCAACGTGCAAACGACGGCCGATAACCTGATAATGGAGCTAGTCTTCAGCATCTGCACGTCTCGTACGGCTTATCAGTCGCCAGGGCGGTGTACTCATCCTTGGAAGTCTGATCCCAGCACATGGCTGCAAATGGCGCCACGAATCCAAAGCAGACAATCGCACCGCAAGGCAGTTGGGTCTTGGGTTCGAACAACGATCCATCCACTCGCAGGTTGTTCGTGCAATTCGAAGAGAGCAAGGTACCTTGCAAGCGGCGCCCGGCCAGGAGGAAGAGGTAGGTGAATGCCTATGTCATCATCTTCGCCCGTGTCAATCACCTGTGATTCGTGGCGGACATGCCAACGTTCAGGGACTTGACGTGGCACATCACGAACGGTGAGAGCGCCACGAGATAGCAGTCGGTTGAAGTGGGTCTTCATTCGGATGGATAAAGTTGGCTTATTTACCCATGGTTTTTCGAGCTCGGACTCGAACTTGTGAACTTTCACAATCTCTTGCATAAGCTGTGGGACATGGAGTTTGGTTCGGCCAATAGACTACATATGAGGTTATTAAGTGTAGTATGAGAATTGTCGTACATCTTTCAATGCAGCAAGTGAAAGCTGGAAAAAACTGGATCGACTGGTTTCTGGGCCTGGCCATATGAGAAAGGTACAGTTTTCTTTTTGATATAAAACACCTCAGAATGCAGTTTGAGATGTCATGTTACAATCTATGGCTTCGTGGAAGCCCCTCCGTCATGCAGGACACATTCAACGAGGTTTCAAGGACAATACCGACCCTATAAAGGACTCCGAAACCCGTGGCCACCGTTCGACGAATAAATCACTTTCAATCGCTTAATTTGTCGAAAAGTGTCCATGTTTAGATTTACCCATCCCACTAAGTACTGTAGTTCCAAACGGTTTCTATTCGATTCAATGCATGTTAGAGTGCAAATGAGGTGTATGAATTTTGTACCCTCAAAAAACTGATTTCGTTGATTGCTGCCTTTGTCAGCCAATAACTAGATGAGCAGACACTGTAGAGCTACGCTGCGAGATGTAACAGATTTGGGTGGTGTAGTACGTACGAAACACCGACAGGGGGCGTCGCAAGCCGAAGAGGGCGTTCTTAGTCGGATCATTGTCGTCGACTCTGGTCTTGATGTCGACAAAGGCAGGGATGCCGTTCTTGACCAATTCACCAGCCACGACGAGGAGGTCCAACCCCAGTCAAACATGAGTTGTAAAACTCGCCAAGCTTGAGCTTGTTGCAAGACAAAATCTTCGTCAACACGGCTTGGTTTTGGATGGAGATCTTGGAGAACCCTTAACTCGCGTGTCACACGCATATTGGTAAAAGCCGTCGCAGGGGTTTCCGGAGTACGTAGTAGACGAGCTTGGCCACAGACTCGGAGAGTTCCGTGACGGAGTCAGACGTAGCGGCAGTGGCCAACGCGCTCAGGAAGATAAGGACTTTGACCATCGTACAGCGAAAAACAAAATGAAGTTGGCCAAAAGTGTCAACCATTGACAGTGAAGTGAAGACCAGGCGTACAGGTCTTTCAACGCAACCAACCGTATTCCCATATCGAATATCCTTGACCAAGGTGTATCCACTACTAGTAACGGATAACGTCAAGCCACCTCGATGAGAAATTGAAGTCGAGCATGTGGAATAGAGTACTCGTACACCCATGTATGTACTGGTTGTGATTGGCATTGGCCTTCCTCAGGACTTAGTTCCAGTCGTATGGTGCCCTCCATCGATCAGTCAGGTTATCCATGGAGGGCATCATACGACTATACGACTGGAACTACTAGTAAGTCCTTCTGAAGCCGTGCAGTGTGGTCGAACAAGTTTGAACCGATTCTGTTCAAACAGTATTTGGAGGGAGGATATTCCACACTAATCTAAAATGATAATTTTGCAGATCACACTAATATACAGTAAGTTCTCGCTTAACTCCGCACAGCCTGCACAGGCGGTGGTTAGTCGAGTTACATTTTACAATAGAAATACAATTTTTTTAATACTGATAGTAAGTACTGGTAATCAGGACAAAGTAGTGTAGATACAACACTACTGTATCATCAAACATGCATTGGTGGTCAGAGTTCATTTCGACGATGGTTCGTGGGGGAGGCGAACTCCTTGCCGAAGTCGAGCGTTTGTCCATACTCGATGAACTTGCTGGTACGCGCATGCAGTCGGTGCGAGCCATAGCCCGTTCATACGCCGTCAAGAGTCTGCCATCCGGTAGCTTTCGAAGAAGCGAGCCACTGTGTTGCAACGAACGGAGGGTGTCCCTGAATAGTCTTGGCAACACGGCGTCGTTTCAGGGAAGCGACGTACAAAAGCTGTAAAAGTGGATAATACAAATGCGCCAACTAACAGTAAAGATATAGGAGTCAACTTTTTGTCAAACATCGTAAGTAGTGAAGACAACGTAGATGACGAAGTAGTCGAACTTGATGTCCTTGCGCAGAACCATGGACTCGAGACTAGTGATATGAATCGCTTTTTGCATTGTCATGGTCGAAATTCCGATGTACGGGTACTGTACATGGATCGCATCGATAGTGGCCGAAATGATAATTAAAAAAAATTTATTCTTCGTTTTTGTCAATTTGGCCGTTCTTGCTTTGGCCTTCTTTCGCCGAGGTTCGGTCACTTACGGATAATATCCGGTCATCCGGAATTTTCCGGTGTTCTTTCTCTGTAGAAGCCAGACTGTTTCTGCCCAATCATAGGGTAGCTAAGCAGTCCGTTAATTTAGTTTTGCCCTCGAACCACACAAGTGTTCTCGTCGTCGTCCCTCCTCAGTGCTACCCCCTTTATCGTCCCTCTTGACAGGTTATGAGCCTCCTTCCTTCCTCTGTGCAGCGCTTCGTTGGCACCCCTCTCGATGACCTCCGTCCCCTGGCCTACACGCTCTGGTAAACGAATTTCTTGTCCCAAGCCACGTCCCAAGACCTTGCTGAGTTCTACTCTACGAAGCTATGTCCCTCAAGGCAATCGTATCGATGCGCTCAACATCAGCAAGATGTACCTCGAGCTCGATCAAGTCGAGCATTCTGAGCTTTATGTTGTCGACCCGACTCTGTCGTCGACCGATCGTGACGCGCGTCTCGCTGAGATCAAGGCGCGCACGACCGCCAACCAACGTGAGGTCATTGCCCTCGAGGCGACCAAGAAACTGGCGAATCAACGCTCTGAGGCTTGGTATCAGCCATCTCCACCAACCTCCGCCGCCTCTATCAGGCCACTACGTGTCCGTTCGAGCTCTTTGAGCACATCAAAACTCGTTTCGAGTCCAACCCTATGGACAACAATCCTACCTACTACTGTATTAAGATGAATGCTAAGCATCCTTATGAAGGGTCATAGAAGGTAGTATAAATCTAGAACAACTGTTTCGGTTCCCGGGGTTGCGTCCGAGGGTTGTGTCCTAGGGTTGCGTCCGAGAGATGTACAGTTGTACTTGTCCTTCCGAGGCGAACTTGGACTGACCACAGATGGTAATGCGTACCCAACATCCTGAGCAACAGCGACTGATCCATCGCAGCAGAGTGTCTCTGCGTCTCAAGTTTGCCCTATCGCGCCGTAGATGCTATAGTACAGTACTCAGCTAACGATACCTAGTGAGATTCACATTGGACACATTTACCGATGCCGACTGCCTCGCCAAGTTCCGCTTCTCCAAGTCAACCCTGCGATCCCTTGTCACTGTCCTTCGAATCCCACCACGCGTCGTTACCCCAGAACAAACCACTTGAAGTGGTGTCGAGGCTCTCTGCATCCTGCTCCGCCGTTTTGTAGTCTCCCATCGACGGTCCGACCTTATCACTATGTCTGGGCGTTCTCGAAGTGGCCTTTGCAACATATTTCTGCACATGCTCGATCACATTTACTCCAACTTTGCCGAAATCATCTTTCTAGACCGCGACCGTATCAGCAAATTGCACGAGTTCAGCCAAGCGGTTGTAGCAAAAGGAGCCAAAGTTCACAACGTATGGGCATTTATTGATGGGACCGTACGAGAGTGCCGCCGGCCGGAGGGAAACGAGCGACAGCGGACAGTGTACAATGGGCACAAACGACGCCATACCGTCAAATACCAGACCCTGGTGAACCCCGATGGAATCATTGCCCATGCATTTGGGCCAATTGAAGGTCGTCGGCATGACCTGATAATACTGCGCCATTCGAACTTGGAAAATGTTATTGCTCGGGATGCTCGGTTCCAAGTATTCGTCGTGTTCGGTGACCCAGCTTACGGTTATCCCGACCAGTTGGCTTCTCATTTGGTGGAGCACGTTTGACAGAAGCCCAACGCAGAGTGAACAAAAGTATGAGTCGGGTGCGAATAAGTGTGGAATGGTCCTTTGGACAGGTTCTACAATACTGGCCAATTGTCGACTTCAAAAAAAAGATGCGCATCGGTATTAGCCCTATTTCTGTGACGGAGCTGGAGCATGGCCTTGTACTACTATACCACATCGTGGTACTGCCATCGCAAAGGTATATTATTCGACGGGCTGACTACCTTCGAATTCGACCGTCTTGCCTTTTATTCTACAGGACCTTTCCCCAAAGGTCGTCAGCTTTAGCTAGCTTTTAGATAGTTCACTTTTACATTTGCCTAACATTAGATCTACTCCTTTCTTGCTGTGTTCTTCTTGGCCAAGCAGAGAGTATCCGGTCCTGAAGTCCAAACCCCCGGACCTTCGTATCTTTTGTGCGTCTAACCCCTACGACCGTCACAAAAATGGTGGAGAAGCAGGGTAACTCTCCTGCCAAACCAAGAAATCCAGCACACCTGAATGAGCAAAGGCCTCTCGAATCCACCTCCCGTCCAAGCAATCGCAGATGACACGGATGTCGCCTCAGCCGTCCCAGCCACCACGACGAAACAATGGGAATCGATGCGGCGGATGTCGCGTCAGCCATCCCAGTCCCGACCGATACGAGTCTTGACCTCGTGAGCGTGGCTGACGACGAAGTCCTCTTAGCAGCAGCTCTGGTGATGAGTGTAAAAGTCAGCCTGAACCTGCCGCGAGACATCAACTACCGAATCCAAACCACTCCAACTCGCTTGACTCACGCCGTTTCTGGTCCTTCTCTTTCTTTGCCTTCTTTGCTTCATCCTTTGCCTCGCGGCGGTCGACAAGGTCCTGCAACAGCTGAACTTGCTCCGTGACCTCTTCTTCGCTGCCCGTTCCCCACATTCGTTACACCCTGTCGATTGACTTGAACGTTTCCAACATGGACTCGTTGTGGTCTCGGGCAGAGCGGTGTGGAATGCCCATTTCAAAGCACGCAGAGATGTTGGCGGTGACAGTCTTCCAACGCAGAGTCAGTGTACCGTACTCGCCGTCGTACGGCTCAACACGAAGAACCTCAGGTCCATCTCGGTGCTCCAGGCGAGCTGCTTTTGAATGGGCTTTCCCATGGTCAATCAAATTGAGCGGTGGAAGGTTGACGTTGATTATCCTGCCACAGCTCATTTTGATTGGCTATGGCACTTCATGGACTTCAGGGCTGAAAGCCTGTAAACTTCCCCACTTTCCAGGTTGGTTTTCGAGCAAAGTATTAAATCTTCGGAATTCGAATCGAAGTTCAAGTCTGGAAAGCGAGGATTGCGGACTTGCTAAAGGTCCCTACTAACCCAACGAATATACCGGTACTCTAATTTCCCTTAACGATGGGAATTCGGTGGATCGGGTTGAACGACTTGCCCGCCTGGTTCGTTTTTACTGGCCAACTCCATTTTCCTTTTGCACTACGATGGACAAAGTCTTCGTCTTCCTCAGCGCATAGTCGGCTGCCACGACTGGCTCCGTCACGGAACTCCCCGAGTACGTGACCAAGCTGATCGACTACCCCGCAAACCCTTGCGACGACTTTTATCAATATGCGTGTGGCGCGTGGCACAAGGATGCTGTGATCCCCCCGGATAGACCCAGCACCGATACGGCGTTCTTCAAGATCGCCATCCAAAACGAAGCCGTGTTGAAGAAGATTTTGTCTGACAACAAAACCAAGCTTTGCGAGTTTTACAACTCATGTTTAGACACGGCTACGCTCTCGTCGCTTGGCGTGGCTCCGTTGGCCGACTCGTTGAAAGCCATTCGATCGGCCAACACCACGTTGGATCTCCTCGTCGTGCCTGGTGAATTGGCCAAGAACGGCATCCCTTTCTCTTGTCGACATCAAGGCCAGTGTTGATGACGCCAACGAAGCCAAGAACGCCCTCTTCGGTGTCCGCCCCCCCTGTCGCTGTCTCGCTCGTATTTCACCACCCCTTCCAAGTGGTCGACCGTCGAAGCCTACTACAAGGTGTACATTGCAACGGTTTTGCAGTTAGCTTGCTCACTGCCGAACAAGCGGCGGCTGTGATGCCGGTGAACACCGCTTCGGGCTCTACAATTTCGAGGAGACGGAGGCCGCTGTGTCTCCGTACACTGCGTTTACGTTTTACCAACTGGACCAGAAGTACCCGCTACTCATCGGCTCGTGGCTCAAGGCTAACGGCTTTAACGTCCACGACCAGTCCGGTGGGTCGAACGACTGGGTGGGTTTTACGAAATTGGCCACTGGACCAGAAGTATCCGCTGCTCATTGGCTCGTGGCTCAAGGGCAACGGCTTCAACGTCCGCGACGGATGCGGTGGGTCGAACGACTGGGTGGGTTTGACCGCCTTGACCTACTTTGACAAGACGGAAGCATTGTTAAAGAACACGACGTTGGACGACATCCGCACCATCGTGGAGTACAAGCTCATTCACGCCTCGTCCACCCACCTGACCCCTGAATTCCTCACGGCCAACTGGAACTTGTTCGGCAAGAGGATCGATGGCGAAGAGGTGGAACCTACTCGTGAAAAGTTCTGCGTGGCATAAGTGGCTACAACAGTTGGGGAGCTATTGGGCCGGTACTTCGTAGACGCGGTGTGGTCGGCTGACTCGGCCATGACGGCCGACGAACTTGTCAGGGCCTTGGAGTCGTCCTTCTCGACTGGTATTGCGACCACCGACTGGTTGGACAACTCGACCCGCGCCAACGCGCAAAGGAAGCTGTCCAAGTTAGTGCATTTGTTGGGTGGCCCCGAGAAGCCCCGGTTGTACCCCACGCTGACGTTGGACTCGAATTCGTATTTGAACAACCGTTGGAAGATCTCTCAAGTGAACATCGACACTGGAGGGAGTTGATAACGCAGAGGGAATTGTAAACTGATTGATTGGCGTTATCTACATGCATGACTTCTCTGACTATACTATATCTAATGCTATACATACGTGCGCTCTGCAGAACGAACTTCTGGTGTCCATGGCCGAACACGCCGCACGCCAATCGAGCTTGGTCGTAAACTGACGTCAACAGTGACGTCTGTTCTCATTGGTCGATAACCCTATGACGCCACTGGAGTGACGTCGCTACATTCTCCCCCGGTTATCGACTTCGCCGCTTGTATCTTCGCTCTCAGATCTAGAACCAGGCGCTTGAAATGGGAAACATGTTTGATGTCCCGCTCAAGTTCCCAGGTCGCTTCGTAATCGGGCAAGCCATGCCACTTGACGAGGTACTCTTTCTTGCGGTTGAACTGCCGTTGCTTCAGCAGCTCTTCGACGATGAAGACTTCGTGGCCACTGTCGTCCAAAAGCATTGGAGTCGCTTTGGGTATGGGTCGGTTGGTAAACCGATCCGTTTGGCCGGGACACTCTTTCAGTCGATCGACATTGAAGACGTTGTGAAGACTCTTCATGCTCATTGGCAACTCCAACTTGATAGCATTCGGGTTGATTACTTGTATGATCTTAAAGGGACCAATGAACTTCGGTACTATCTTTGGTTTCTCATCCTTGTTCACCAACTTCGCATGCTTGATGGGGACGTTTCGTGTCGCTAGCATTACAAACTCCCCTTTGCGAAACTCCAATTTTGCTTTTTGTCGTAGTAGCTCTTTTGACGAGCCTGTGCTTTGTCAAGGTTTTCAAGTGCCATCTTGACTAATGCTTTACGTTGCTCGGAAAAGTTCTTCGCGTACTCATTCAAAGTTTCAACTTGATTAAGAATGGGGTTACGCAACTTTCTGCCCGTGTCCACTTCGAATGGAATGAGTCCCGTCGACGCTTGAATCAATCCTTGGTGCGCATACTCAATGGTGCCGAGGTGCTCTGACCAGTCATGTCCGAGGTAACTGACTTGGCAGCGCAAGGCATCTTCGAGTGTCCGATTTTGGCGCTCTGTGGCTCCATCACTCTGCGCTCTTCCTGCAGTCGTCATGAAGTGCTTGACTCCCATGATTTTCATGAGCTCCTGCCAAAACTGGCTGGTGAACTTGGAGTCACGATCACTGATAATGACCGCCGGTAGGCCATGGTGCCGCACTATTGTGTCGAAGAACTCCTTGGCCACTTGAGGAGCATCGACAGTCGACGTCGTAGCACAGTACTTGGGTCGTTTGGACGTCTTGTCCACGCACGTCATGATCGCATCCTTGCCATTGGATACAGGCAAGCCCGTGATCCAGTCGATGGAAACCGTGTGCCAACACTCATCTGGCGACTTGATGGGAATCATCTTGCCATTGGCTTTGGCACTGCTTGTCTTGTAGCGTGCACAGGTTTCGCAAGTAGCGACGTAGAGCTTGACGTCGTCCTCAAGTCCCACCCAATAGTACCATTGTGCAATGTGAAGTTGCGTTCGACGCACACCTGGATGCGCCGTTATGCTGGTGTCATGACTCTGCGAAATGATCTCGCCTTTCAAGTAGTCGTCGTTCGGCACACACAACTTCCAAACTTGGTCTTTCGACTTAACGAAATAGAGTCCATCATTCATTACGAACTTATTGTCGTTGGCAAACTCCTTCGTCTTCTCGTACGCCTTCAGGAACCGTTTTTTCAGGTTCGAGTCCATCTTCACCATGCTGTACGATACTTCTTCCGCGTGATGGATGACGAGTTGTTGAGGAACTTCGACTTCGACACTACCAACGCACTCCTCCCCCGGAGAAGGCAAGTCCGTCAACAACTGCAATGTGCGGACATCCATGCACTTGAAGGCCGCGACGCGTGTCGTCCACTCATGAACACGACGATAGCGGTCGTAGCATGAAGAATCGCAGTGATGCACTGTGCAAGTGTTGATGTGAATGTCAGCGCGTGGAGGGCGCGACAATGCATCTGCAACCACGTTCGTCTTGCCTGGACGATGGTGCAACGTGAAGTCAAAACTACTGAAAAAATCCAACCAACGTGTTAACTTTGGCGTTAAGATTGGAGTCTTCAGAAACCAGTGACAAGTCGAATTGTCG